CACATCATCGGATTTGTAGGGATTGGCATTGCTGGAATAATGGTGAGAATTTGGACAGTTTTCACTTTAAATTCAAAGAAAACATTTTTAAATGCTTGAAAATATTCCGCTAAAAATACTGGCTTTTGGTGTTTATTAAATTATAGATTAGATGTGATATTGAATTATGTCTGTTTTCAGGTTATAGGAATGATCTTCAGTATGGTGCTGTGCTGTGCGATCAAGAACAGCAGAGAAGTTATATAGACGGGGGGGTAACACACCCCACAACCTGCCCACATCCACTCACTAAGCAACAACCAGACCCCTACATACGCGCACAACCCTTTATAATCAATGTATCCATATGGGTAAAGCAGCCTCACCTCTTATAGATCAGACTGTAGAGGTGGGGGGTACCTGCACTGACTGCATTCAACACAATACGCTGGATCGATTTCCAACCTGCTCCGTGATTTTACCAGCCCAGAAACAGATTTATTATTCTGTTCTTTTCCATTCCTTGTGCTTTGCTTTTTGGCACAGCAATGTGACATTCCATGCGGTCAACACGTTTGTGTTCGGCTGCTGGTGCTCTGCAGAGTTTGTCTTACTGCACTGTAGCTATAACACAATACGTACGGCCTTCTGTGACACGGGAATGTGATGTGGAGGGAGTATTGCTGTAAATACTTGACACGCTTGCAGTTGATTCTATTTATCCTGTACATTCATTCGCTTTTTTGGGCCTTAACCTTGTCATTCTTTGTTTTTACTAAGAGTTTTGAAACTAGCCGACCTTTTGCAGAGTGAACTTCAATAACGTGCCTCTTTGAACCTTTTAAGTCATAGACAGACCTCCAGCTACCTATTAGTGTGTCTTTTTCATAGGTTTAATATGTACATAACAACTGTTTCTGCTCTCTGCCTCCTCTTTTAAGCATTTCTATTGTAAAACACGCCTGGAAACTTTTGTAAATCTATAAATTCTTCTGAAAGGTCAGTAATACCGTGTGTTGTGCTGAACTCTTGAGCATGTTTAACTTTAACAGTAAGCTAGTTTGCATTTTGTCTGACTGGATGTACATTTTTTGGGTGTGCCAATTAGATATAAAGTAGAAGATAATATAGTTTGTCCCCATGTTAATGATAATAAAACATTCTGGGTGCTTGTATGTATGTTTGTTTTCTTTTTTTAAACTCTATGTTTAAAAGGTGTGTTTCTTACTTAAGGAAGTTAAAGCATCACAGCAAGTCAGCTAGAAAAGAGAATCAACATGTAGAATATTTTGTGCAAAAGAGTTAAAAGAATATTACAGGTGATAATCAAGAGTTTTTGCTCCTTTTTTTGCATTTCTATGATGTAATTCAATTCAATTCAGTTTATTTATATAGCGCCAAATTCACAACAAGTCATCTCAAGGCACTTTACAGTTCAACCAGATCATACAGTCAAATTGATTCAAAGTTTTCTATCTAAGGAAAACCAGTTGATTGCATCGACTCATTGACTTGAAGGCAATTCCTCACACTAAGCATGCTTGTAGCGACAGTGGAGAGGAAAAACTCCCTTTTAACGGGAAGAAACTTCCAGCAGAACCAGGCTCAGTGTGAGCGGCCATCTGCCGAGGCCGACTGGGGTTCAAGGAGACAGAAGCAGATATAATCAGTTTACAAATAGATGTAGGGGTTTTTATGTGACAGATCAACATAACTTGCTTGTAATTGTGACATTCAAAGACAAGGATTCAAGTTTTTTAAACTGAGCAAATCAAAGAAATAACCTTCAACTCACACTTAACAGGAGCCAAATGATTGCTTTAATGTTTTTAAGCAATATTTAGGAGTCTGAATAAGATTTCCCCATCTTTTATCTCTTCCACATGGAAGAGGGAATCAAACTTTCCATACAAACAAGGCGGAGGTTTGTTGAAATTATATTAGACTGGACAAATGAATAATCCTTCCAAACTAAACTTATCAATTTTTTTTACAATGAAAGCAGCTAAATGTTACATACCAAATTGACATTTGTCTCTTAGTTTAGTTCAAGGGTATTTTGCATTAGAGAATACATCAAACACACAGTAAAAAAATAAAAGTTGAAAGAATAAGACTGTGCAGGAGGAAGCAAAAAGCCAGACTAGGTTATCTGAAGCCTCCACCAAAAACAAAACATGCAAATTAAAACAAAAAGGAACATACACAGGAATACAGGTACATCTACTTTGTACAGCTCTATATATATATAACCACAACAGAATCCTTGTTACAATGTAGTGCTGTTATTACCAACCTGTAATAACAGCTGCTCGCCAGCGCCACAGCTGCTCTGGGGCACTGGCTAGCAGCAAGAAGGTTACTGGTTTGAATCCCAGCCCGGGGTCTTTCTACATGGAGTTTGCATGTTCTCCCTGTGCATGTGTGGGTCCTCTCCGGGTACTCCTGCTTCCTTCCACAGTCCAAAAACATGACTATAAGGCCGAGGTGTCAAGTAACGAAGTACAAATACTTCCTTACTGTTCTAAAGTACACTTTTTAGGTATCTATACTTTACTCCATTACTTATTTTTCTTTCTACTTCTGACTTCTACTCATTACATTTTCACACAAGTATCTGTACTTTCTATTCCTTAAATTTGTAAAACAAATGTTACTAGTTACTTTCGGTTTCGGTTTTATGTTTATAAAATATTTATTTCAGGTCATGTGCTCCCATCCATGGCAGATCATTGGCTCCATCCACATCTAGAGAAAATTGGATGAGTCATATAATGCAAACACATTGGTTAGCTAAAGGAAAATCATCAGAAGCAAGCAGGTGTTCTTCAAACTGCTAACGTGAATTGTCTATGCTATGCTACGATGTCGGATTCAGAAAAAGATGTCAAATTGTCTGAAAGGTCGGACACAGGCGAGAGCGTATCGGGAGACACAGACCGACAAGACCTCCCTCATCCTTGGCCCCATCTCAAATAATTTTTTCGAAATAGTCGAAAAATGTAGCTTTCAATTCATATAGTGGCATCTGGCTGTGTTTTTTTTTTTTTTAGGTTACTTTATGCTTTTATACTTTAAGTATTTTTGGACCACATACGTTTTCACTTTTACTTGAGTAAAGAGGTCAAATTTATACTTTTACCAGAGTGTTTTCAAACTGCAGTATCTATACTCCTACTTAAGTAGCAAATTTGACACCACTGTTAGGTTAATTGACTTCTCTAAATTCTTCTTAGGTGTGAGTGAATGGTTGTTTGTCCCGTTGTCTCCGTGTTGCCCTGGGATGGACTGGCGACCTGTCCAGGCCGTACCCCGCCTGTCGCCTGTAGCCAGCTGGAGATAGGCACCAGCACCCCTGCTTGGGATAAGCGTAACGGAAAATGGATGGCGTAAGATATATGGAAGGATGGAGATCCCTTGACTGGCTTTTAGTATGTAAATAAATGTAGATAAATTTGCTTTAGTCATTAAAGTGCCTGAAAAAGATTTAATAATTCATCAGAATCTGTAAACTTTTAAATAAAGGTGTTTGATAGGCACGTTCCAGACAGTTGCCATTTTAGCAAAGCATGTCTGGATCCGTAAAATCTTGTAGACAGCAGTCGGCTTAAGACTCCCCCAAACTATTTTGCAAGAAGTGCGGTAAGGATACACAAGGTTGTGTTAAAAAGTGAAAAAACACTTTAAAAATAGCTTACTCTCAAATACCAAGAGATTTATTTAACACAACCTCTTTCCAACTCAAACTTTCATCAACGAAAACTAAAAAAATGTGTAGAAGATACCTTAACTTAAAACTTCAAAACCGCCATTTGTTACCATATACAGCATGTGTTAATGGATTGGTATGTCAGAAATATTTACTATCATTCCATCATTGCAGCACCTGGGTAGCTGTTGCTATTATGTAGCTTAGACCATCACCATATGGGTGAATGAATGTAGTGCAGAGTTTTGGGTCATTAGACTTGATAGAAAGTTCAGGCCGTGTTCCCAATAAAATTCAAGGTATAAATGATAATGGCTTTAATGGACATTGTACACTCCGGTTAAATGGGAACAAAACTTTCCAATTGTTCAAGGAAGGTTTGATGTAAACAGGAGAAATGTGTAAAAAACACCTAATCCCCATTGTTAGAGGACCCATCATTTTGTAAAAAATATATATATATATATATATATATATAAATATACATATTTACTTCTAAAGGTACTTTTGTCTAAAACCGTGAGAAAATCCATCAGATCTTTCAATAAAGTTAACGTTGATATGGTTCACTAGTCTTCAATGATCATTATGATGAAAATTTTTGGCTGAGCTGAATGGCGCATTAAAATATTGTAGACAACAGCCAGGCAAAGATTATGCCAGGAGAAATGTTTCATTGTGTTTCATTTTCTGCTAAAGTTTTTTCTTTTTAAAACACATTTTAAGCAGAGGTGCCAATTTCTGGGACACAGTCATTTCTGAAACAGTGACCCTCCCTCATTTTTACACCAAGACCAATTATTAACATTTGAATAAATAGACCACCATGGAACCAAAATGAATGATTTAATGGCTGCAGTGTACAAAAAAAAGCCATCAAAGTGACAGTATGCAACAGCCATCTCTCACAGTATTAATGTTCAATTCAAGTTAATGTTTCCTTATAGAACCAAATTAATACAATTCTGTTCTACAATAAAATGATCCAGAAATTACATTTGAAACAAGATCTTAGGTCTTTAACATAAAATCCTGAAATGAATTTATGAAGACAAATATGATATGAATAAACCATGTCAAGCTATGTAAAGCAGAGCTAAACAATCGACTATGATAACAGGACCAATTGTAAAGGTTTGGAGATCTGCATGGTCCCACACCAGTAGGAAGGCTCAAGATCAGACCAATAAACATTTAAACATTGTTAAAATGGCAGAATAAAAAAATAAAAAAGAAAAAAAGAAAAAGAAAAAAGGAAAAGTGTAAACTGGGCCCTATGAATTTTGTTGTAACAAATCTTATTTCTAAGATGAAGGCTCTATGTGATAACGGATATTCGGGAAAAAGAAAATATATTTATATATATATAAAAGAAGTAAAATATATCCCATTTATAAAAATAGCAAAGACAATAATCAAAACAATAAACACAAAAATAGCTCTGAGTGAATTCCACTCCCTCACAGAGGGAATCTGGACATGAATGATTTGGGACTAGGACAGAAAAATACTGCAATTCTGAGTCCACAACCTTAAAAGACCAACAGATTCAAGTGCAAACAGTGGGCTCAGTCAGCTTTAAAGTCACAAGAGCGTGCAAATGCAACACAGCTGTCAAACTAGAGATTATTAATAAAAATAAACTCGTGCGTCAGGAGTTCTTTTTTGCTGTAAACGGGTTGAATGTAGCTGCCAGTTTTAACTGGGTCCGGTGAGTACGTGGCCTGCTGATGCAGCTCAGACAGACAGGAAACGTGGAGAAAAGTTGTCCAGGATATATTCACCGACGCCCACAAAATACATAACTTGTGCAATTCCAAACAGTGGTGCAATGACAAGGGCCCGGCAGCCGGCGCCCTTCAGGAAGGCACTCGGTCCCTCCTTCCGCATGATTTTACTGTTGAGACAGGAGGATCGGTAAATTTAAGTAGGTGCAAGATGGAGAATGAATACCTCACGAAATTAGCAAATAAATTAGCTCTTACCTCACGCAATCCATAACGCCATTGTAGCTCTCCTCACTTGCGGCTTTGTTGAGGGACTGCAGCCTGGTCTTCACCACTGCAGGTGAAACACATTTTTTTTTTTTTTTAGACATGTTGCTACTAGTTCTTAAGAGTAGTGGCTTTCCAACCTAATCCTCAGTGGCCCCTGCCCTGCATATTTTAGACACATCTGTTCCAGCACACCCAATTCAAATTAGGGCTTCTCTTTTGCATTTAAGTGCTGTTGAAGCCTGAAAACCTGAAGCCTGAAAGCTGATGCAGCAAGGAAACACTTGCTGGACTGGAATCTCTGAGGAACAAGGTTGGGAACCAGTGACTTAGAGACACACACTGTGGAGATAAAATAAACATAACCCACCATCACAAGGATTGACAGCAACAGCAGCAGTAGATCCTGCAACACACCCAGAGAGGAAGGCCCAGTAGAAGGGTGAGGACTCTTCAGGACTGGGTTTACCCAGGCGGTTCAGGTTGGCAAACAACGGGAAGTAAACAATAGAAAAAGGAACATCCCTGAAAAAATAAAAGTAAAAGAACTTTAGCAAAGACTAGTCCGACATTGCATTTCTGATAAATAGAAAATGGTTTTACAAATAACTCTGCTTCACCTCATCAGTGTTGCCCCCAGGCCCCTGTAGAGGCCCTGGATGCCCTGTGTCTGCAGGAGTTCCTTGGCGATCTGCGTGGCCGACACGGCTCTCGGCGTTGACACTACAGGGCCGGAGTTGAATGAGCGGCTGAGCACTGCATTTGTCACCACAAGTTTGGTGGGAGACATCATGACCGGTTTCTGTTGCTGGGCCGCTTCAGAGAATAAATAAAAATATTAGAAACATAAACTAGAACCACCGTCACCAATAATGGGACGTTTGCTCACCAATCCTGCCTGCATCCTGTAACTGGATCTTAAGCATTTCCATGGGGGTAGTCACAACCACTTGGCACATGCCTGCACCACAACCCGCCAGCATTTCTTTGAGCACAGTCAACCCTTTTCTGTTAACAGAAAACAAGATTCAGACATAAATACAAATAATAATAATAAAAAAAAACACCCGTGACACATTTACGATTTTTAAGACTTGTTCCAGAGAAATGTACACACCCTTCCTTTGAAAGGTGATGGCGGAAGAAGTCATTCGCTGCGAGCTTGATGGCCTTTTCAGGGGTAACCAAAGTCAAATTTACAGCCGCACCTGAGAAAACACAATTACACAATTAGCACAGACGCCACTATCTAGTCGTCAAATGACAGAGAAACAACATTGCATGACTATTATTACATTATCATCATCTAGTATTCAAAGAAAGGCTGCTCAATAACTAAGATAATTTCATGACATCACACTTAAGTACAATTTCAACTGTATTGTCAAAGACAGAAAAGAAATGGGAGACAAATTATACAAAGATGAAGTCTAAAGTAAAACAAGACAGAGGATAATTTCAGGAGAAAGCAGTTTTTTGTTTTTAAAATGTGTGAACTTAAAGGTTGTGAGTTAGTAAACATGTTGACTACAACACAAAAAAAAAAAAAATTAAAAAAAAGTTGTTAGGCACAGGAAAAAGACTTGAACAAAATACAGAGAGTACAGACTTAGAAAAAACTTTCAAAAAAGTTATGTTGTGTATGTAAAAAAAAAAAAAAAAAGAAATAAAATGACAATGAAAATGGCACAGCTCAGATTAATTTGCAAGCTCAGAGTCTGTAAGGACACATGTTAGAGTCCATATAGAACGAGGCAGGACAAGTTGACAGGACAGTGGAGAAACAAACATGAGACAGGAAGTCTGATTACAGAACAAACAGATGGCAAAACATAAACTTCAGCCTATAGTTTTAAATAGAGCAATATTGTAAGAACCATGTAATATTTGCCTCCAGCGTGGCTGCGCCTTATCGGCTAGCCTTGAATATCCCAGGGGGACCCAAGTCTGTAATATGGAAAAACACAGATGCAAACAACAGCATTCCTCACAAGAGCAGACGCCTAACCTAATGGTCTTTACTTTCTTTGCACATTTAAATACAACAGCACATTTTAAAATATCACCAAGTGTATGGAATGTTTACAAAGATTAAAGTTTGCTTTGTGAAATATACTTTGATTTTAATAGAAAAACCCATGTTTTTTCATGCAATATAAATACAAAATACAACAAAAAGCACAGACATTTTTTGAATGGCAACTCTTATGAGCTTTACATTTTTCTACAATTAATCCTATGAAATAAAACTTCCACATTTGCTAACGTAACAGCTCTTTAACACTCAGGTGCATCATATTACCTCTGTACATTCCAAAGTATCCCTCTGATCGAATAGTCTTAACCAGGCAGTCCATCCTTTACAAAAAGAAAGCATAGGAAAATTCCATTAACTTCATGCAAAGGTACCAAATGCTAGAATATCCTGCGGCGCTGTAAACTTCCACTCAAATTACTCTAACTACTTAACAAAGAACAATGACAACAATGTACAGCTGCCAGAGCCTAAAAGGTCAGGACACAGGGACTGGGATTCCATGAATGCGTCATTGTGGAATTAGAAAAAGCCCAGACGGATTTAAGAAGGACGTAGTAGGTATAATACTCCAAGACAACACAGCAGTGTTGTGTAGAGTGGAGCTACGTATACTTACATGCTCTTGTAGACTTGCTGTCCACTTCTCTGGTTCTGCAGCCTGGTCTTTGCCAAGTCAATGGGAAAGACGCAAGTTACCCCAACAATGCCGGCAATACCACCATTAATAAGTTTGGCAGGAAGGCTGAAAAACAAATAAAAAAAACAAACAAACAATTTGTAAATTAAAAAGAAAAACCTATATAAACACACATTTTAAAATTTAAGAAAACGTCCTATATTGTGGGAATAAGAAAATAACTTGATGGTTTACCTGATCTGCTGCTGAGACATGTTGACTCTTTATGGAACCACTGAAGACTGGAGAAGCGAAAAAGAAGCGATGTAGATTCAAATGTTTGTAGTTAAGCCAGTAAATATTGTCCTGGAAAGAGAAAACCAGCTGCAATTTATAAGTAGTCTGAAGAGGATCTCGAGAAGACAGACTTTAACTTCTCCCACCCACCGCTGCAGTTTTAAACTTATCTATGAGTCTCAGAGTCATAGGACAGTGATCTATCCGCCCTGCTATTTAAGGACCTCCTGTGGGCGTGTCCAACTCACAGACCGGAAGACCTTATATGCTAATTGCCGCCTTTAACATATTTATACAGAAATTCGATATAGTGGAGGTTCTAAATAAACAGTTCTTCGTAAAGCGAGTCTTATTGGCAAACACATATTTAGATTAGTAGAATTAAATTCCTTCTCCAGAATTTGTTTCAATTGAGATAGAAAATGTAAAACTTTTTTAAATCTACTAAACAATAAAACATTTTAAAGCTTCAAACTACAATAGCCAATAAAACATGTCATATTTTTGGCATTTCCTGCAAAGAACAGCAGCCTATGTTACTCCGTGAGGCATAGTAAAACATCCATTCAAAGTATCACGATCCGCAAAACTAAAAATAATAGTCATAAAAGTTTTTTTCGATTAAGCGCTCATTTTCTTACTAAAACGCGAGTAAGGTGTAGTAACCTACTTACCAAAACGATGGTTTTATTCTGTTTTTAATACAGTTTCAAAGTGTTCGTATCCTTCGTTTTATCACCTCCCCAGACAAAGCCGTGAATAAAGCGCCTGGAAATTTCCACTGCTCTTAACTGTACAAAGACGCTTGCAACATGTTTCAATGACAACCAATCAGCGTCAAGATCTCTCAATGACAACCAATCGGAGTTCAGGTGCCGCTCACGTAGCGGACAAGTTCCATCACCATTGGCCGATAGATCAGTCAGTTAACATTTTCAGCCAATCGCAGCGCTACAAGCTGCGACGAATCGGTGGCAAGAACGTAGGGAAAGATAAATATATGTAGAAAAAAAAAAAAAAAAAAAGGAACCAAAAGCACTAAAATGTAAAAATGTTAAATTTAGAGTTAAAATGCAAGGTATTTTCTTAACGTATTAAATAATGTTGTTCCTATCCAGACATGTGTTAGGATTAACTTTATCCTCCTAAAATCATAAAGGGATTAAGTAGATAGACAGTGGGGTGTTGGCTTCACAAAAGGGATCTAGAACTTTCTGTTCTATTCTTTTCAAGGTGTCATGATTTCATTGAATGTTTTAGCTGCTTGCTTTACAAAGGAGAGGTTGATCTTTCTGTTTTATCCATCTTGACTCAAGTGGTCTAAGAAATATTCTTCAAGACATTTCTTACCATTAAAGTATTTTATACTTATTTGTTAGTTACGATAATATTGTTTTTAAAAATGCCTTTAGCGGGAAAACAATACTAATTATAATATACACTTACCTTTGTTCTTTTTCGTTATTTAAACTAATGCACACAATGAAACTCCTATTAATGTGAAAATGCATCTGTGCTTTTTGTATTTCTTATTCCAAGATATGTTTGATTGAATTATTTTAATATGCAGCTTTTTTTTTTTTTTGTGCAATGCACTTATATTTATCCTTATCTTTTAAAGCGCTTCCTTTGTTGCCTACCAGACTAATTACTGAGGATAAGAAGGTTTATTAACCCGTTACCAAGTGTTTGTAAAGGTGCTTACATGCAATTCTTAAGGACTTAGGATGTGATTGCAGCTTTAGGATTTCAAACAAAAGCTTCTCTATGCTTAGCAAATTAAGACTTTATGAAATAAAAAAAATCCAGTACACAACTTCTAATATCTCGCATCTTGCAACCATGACTCATGTATGGTAATCTGAAACATTTTGACTTAGATAACTGGATGCAGATTGGAAAATTACAAGCTGAATGCCACAAACAAGAGGTATTATCTGGAAAGCTGATTTTAAAGATTTACATTCCAAGGTATTACCAGGAACCGGTTCCATGCATATGACCAGGGGCTGAAAGTTGTATAACACTGGGTGGTGCACAATATTTCCATATTAACCATGGATGTGGCATATATTTCAATTTGAAATTTTCTTGGCTTTTGATCGACTCAAGTTGTGTCACTGCCAAACCTAGAGCGTGAGCCCAAATGGGAATCTGTTAGTTATGAAACATATTAGCATACATTAAAAACTATTTGGCATATGTGTGAGAAACATGATCTGTTTTATCTTTGCTTACATCAGTAATGAAAAGCTAAATTTAACACTATACAGGGCTTGATGTTAACCATTGCCCGATCGCCCGGGGCAAGTCGTTTTTATTGTCGGGAGAGTACACATTTCATTGCATCTGCCCGCCGGGCAAGTGCAATGATCGCAAAAAATATATATTTATCACTCAAAATTACTTTAAAATCTCCGACATTTGCTGAAAACGACCCACAAGTGTTGCCGGCGCCATTTTTGTTGTTTTGTACACATTCTTGCGTGATTTCAAAAAGCCGCGTGATTTTCCACCAGATGGCGCGATTTTTGTCCGGGGATTTTTGTCCGGCGCGAATCAGACACATTTTTTTTCGACTTGGCAGGCTTAAAAACAACAACAAGGCTATTTTACCCTCCACCCATTTCACCCACCACCCAGATAACCCTAGATTAAAAATTATTTGTCAGGGATTAGGAAAATTGGCATAATTGTATGCCATGCGCACAGTGTAAATATGGCTATCATATGGCAGTCTTCTGTACAGTGATGCAGGTCATACATTAAAAATTTTTTATTCAATTTTTTTCTCTTAAACATTGGAGAGGTGCATTTAAATGTTACTGTATAGAGCTAAACATGTTAAATTGGTGACCTGTTATGTTATTAGTGTCTTGTTGCTGCATTTATTTTGTCAGGGAAAACTAATCCTGAGTCAGTTAAAAGTCAGGGAATTCTGAAATTATGTAAGACTGTGGAAACCCTGTATAAAATAACTATGTATAATGATTCTCTAGAAAAGTCACATTATATTAATAGTATTATCTTGACTTATCGTGACTCTAAA